CCTACTTCCGTAGTGATACTGCCTTGGAAACCCAAGGAGGGGTCGCTATGAGTCGGGTTTGACTCGACGGCACATAACAACAACAACAACAGTTTGTACTGGTGAAGAACGATTGTAAAGACAACTGTGTTATATTTAAGAAAAAATAATATCTAAGGGTAACAGCTCATTTATTGAGTACCTAGTACATGCCAAGTGTTAAACATGGTGTCTGCCCTGTGGACCGTGCCTCCTGTGCAGTTCTCTCTCCTTGATTCTGGAGTGGGCCTCTGACTTGCTTTCACTGATAGAATTCAGCAGAACTGATGCTGTCTCAATTCTAGGCCTAACCTTGAGAAATCCTGGCAGCTTCTGCTGAGTAAACTTAGATGAAGAGAGAGAATAAGTAACTTACACAAGGTCACTCAGGTAAGAAATACCAATGTCAAGTTTGAACTCAGATACTCTCACATGGAGGCCACATTCCTAACCACTAGATTTTATTGCTTGCTGGGCAGAGGTAGAAGGGGAAGGTGTCAGCCTTGGTAGTACTTTCTGTTTCTTCAGAAAAGCACAAAACATGGGTAGGAAGGTGAAGATACAAGAGAGATTTGAGGAGGACTGGAGGGGAATTGAGGTTTAAGGGAGCTCTGGTAGCATAGTGGCTAAGACACTTGCCTGCTAACCAGACGGCTGGCGGTTCAAACCCACCAGCCACTCCTCGGAAGGAAGGTTGGGCAATCCTACTTCCGTAGTGATACTGCCTCGGAAACCCAAGGAGGGGTCGCTATGAGTCGGGTTTGACTGGACGGCACATAACGACAACAACAACATTTGGGACTTGGCGAAGCTGGAGACAGTTGAGTGTGCCGCAGGTCAGGGAGGAGGAAGCAGCTGCTGTAACGAATGTAGAGCTGCCCAGTTCCAGTACTTTGTGGACCACCTTCAGATAGTTTTCCTGCCCTGGGGACTGTGCCGTCCAGAGAATTAGGAGGAGGATCAGTTCCCTGGAAATGAGTGTTTTGCTCATGTTGAGAGGTGATAATCTGCATCAACAGATTAGAAGACTAATCAACAGAGCTGGGTGGAGTTCTTGAGTGTTGTTGTTGTTATGTGCCCTTCAGTTTTCTGAGGCAGTATCACTATGGGAGTAGACTGCCCCATCTTCCTTCCGAGGAGTGGCTGGTGGGTTTGAACTGCC